ATTTCTGTGGATGCATACAAATGTAAAAATTGTTTTTCACATTCATCTTATTTTTAATGCCAGTAGCCCATTTTTTAAAAAAGTGTTTTCAAACCAATCTCTAAATTTGAAAAAAGAAAATTGGTCTGACTATAAGCCACTAGCTTGAACTATTTCAAATTAATTTGTGTGCAAAAGAGTGAACTCATGAAAGGCCCACTCTTTTGGACAACTGAATTCTAATAATGCTAACCAGGTAGTTCCAAAGATGAAGGTGGGGGAGCCACAATCCTTAATTTGATAGAGATTATTTAAAACATGAAGTTGTAGCCCGACTAATACAAATGGCTCCTTTGGCCTGTTTCCAGCAGGAGAGTTTCTATTAGACCTACTTATTTGCCAATGGGTTTTGATGAGCTATACTTTCTAAAAGATCAAAGTGATGATTGTAAGTTTCCCCAGCCCTGTGGAATTGTAACAAAAGCTATGAAAGATCTTATAATTTTTAGAGAATTTTCACATTTGTCGTCTGTTTATTTTGACCACTACAATAACATGCTGATGTATAAGCAGAGAATCATAAGAAAATGCCTATCTAAAATTTTCATTTTACAGTTATACTAAGTCCCAAACAAGGGAAACACTTTGCTCAAGGTTAAAACACCAGTTACTAGCAGAAAAAATGCATTTTTATACTACACACAAAAGTCGCACAATAAATATTTGCTAAATCATATTATTATTTTCTTTTTCAGTATGGTAAAAAACCAAAGACCTAGAGAAGTTGATGACATGAATGAGATTTCATAGGTTAATAATACAACTGGAACTGGAATTTTGAATCAAGTTGAGTTTTTATTACTTTCTCTCTAGACCTGTCATATAATTAAAAATTGAGAACCACACAACTATCTTCTAAAGAGCTGTTGAACACTATAAACAAGGAAGTGGGGCACAAGCAACAACAGAACATTGAAAATCAATTTTCTCTGACAAATATGGAATACCTAGATAAGAATGGCCATTATTTAGGAAACTTTCTGTGAGAGTACTGATTTTCCAGTCCAGGTACCAAACTTACTGTAATTGCTGGTGGAATTTACCGAGTTCAGGTTTATATCCTTAAAAAAATGAAATAGTTCTTAGTACTTTAGCACTATGGCAAAATGTGTTCTTTAAGAATGGATGATAAAATGGTCACTAAACTAAAATTAAATGTTATGCTACAAATTTCAAATAATACTGCATATAGAAGTGAAGACGAGATTCTGGAGTAAAAGTTTAGCCTCTTTTCACTTGCAGACATTTAAGCTGAAATATTTAGGAACATTTTTCTTCTCCCAGTTAATTTGGTAAACTTTTCTATACTTATCATTCTGTATTCTTCATTGACTCCTGTCCCATGTCATTCTGCAAAACATTGGTCATTTCCCTATCTAAGGGCTGATAAAGTCTTAATTGCTGGCTGTCCTCAGCCTTTGTTCACAACTTTTCAAAGATCAGAGCTCAAATACATAATGTTAAACAGTGGCAGCTGATTGTAGTGGTTGTGGTTTAGTCTGTAAAACGGTTTTTCTTCTGCCTATTTGTACTAGCACCCTCATCGCTTTTGTGAATTCCATCCTTTCCCTCTAACCTCTGTGTAGCTCCACTACGACTGTCGACTGTCTTTCCTTGACTGCTTCTTCCCAACCCTGGCCACAGACAGAACTCGTGAGTTAGACTTGCATAAGCAGATATCTCACTCCACTGGCCAGTGTTCACAGACAGGCATAAAAGGATCTTCTTTTGCAATCTATTATGATTCCCCACATATGTGTAGCACTGGGGTATGCCTGACCTATCGAGTTAGTTTTATCTAAAGTTTTGAGAAATAGTCCACCTGAATTGTCTATAATTCTTTTACAGCCATAAGTTCCATTAAATCAAATATTTGCATTTTGGAAATTTGCAAATCTAACAATTACTCTTTAAAATATTTTTAAAATTTTTAACTGACTCATAATTATTTATATATATTCATGTACTACAGTACAATGATTCAATATACATGAAATAATTAGGTCAGGGTAATTGTAACTATAGCCTCAAACGTTTATCATTTCTTTGAATTGAGCACATTCAAAATCTTCTCTCCCAGCAAGGATGCAGTGAAAAAAGAACTATCCTACATTGTTGGTGGGAATGTAAACTAGTACAACTATTATTGAAATCAGTATGAGATTTGTCAAAGAACTAAAATTGGAAATTCTGTATGACTTAACTATTCCCCTGTTAAGAATCTTCCCCAAAGAACTTAAGACATCATACTTCAGTGATACATGCATGCAATGTTTATAGCAGCTCAATTCATAATAATCCTGGAAGCAGCCTGTATACCCATCAACAGATGATTGGAAAAAAATATGGTACTCATAAAGAATGGAATACTACTTGGCTATAAAAAAAGAACAAACTTGAGATGTCCATAGGAAAATAGATGCACCTGGAAAATACAGTGTTGAGTGAAATAAATCATACACACAAACTGAAATACCATATGATATCTCTCATTTGAGCAGGCACAGTACAAACAAAGGGAGCATCATAAAGAATGAGTAGAAGGAGACAAGGGGATGGATCTCTGGGAAATGGGAAGGGGTCCAAGAGAACAAGAGCGAGGAGAGAGGGGAAGGGAAAGGGGAAATAAGTAGATATGCCATGTACAAGAACCTAATAATCTCAATGAATGTAAACATTATATATCATAAACTTGAGCTAAGATTAATAATATCAATAAGAATGAAATTGGGGAAAAGGGATTTACAGAAGGAAGGGGGAGGTGGGAGGGAAGGGGAAGGATATTAAAAAAATAAGCAAGTTGTTTTATGTACATGTAACCACTCCCCACAATGACTACAAACTCCAAGTTCTGCAAACATGTAATAAAAGAAATTTATGGCAATATAACTGTGTACTAAGATAAACTTAGTTTAATAAATTCTTTGGTTTTTAAAATTTATTTTTTCCTTTCAATCATCAGTTTGATTAACAAGTAAAGTGAAACTGAAATTCACTTCTAGTTATGTGTGGCCTGCATGTGTCTATGTTACATTTTGCCCAAAGTAGTAATTATGTTCATTTTATGTTTTGTTGTAGATTGACATCTATTTTCACTACATCTATTTTCAACATTCCAAATACTTTAAATTTTTCTTCTGTAATGGTTCTTTGTTTTGTTTTATGATGACAATTAAAAAATATATTTTCTGATATTTGAAGAAGAACAATGTAACTATTAGTATTTTGCCTAAGAATTTGCGATATTTTGAAATAATTATGTGTGATAAGCTGTTAAATTTTAACAGTACCTAAATTTGCATTGATGAATTTTTTCCACAACCAAAAATAATAATTGCTACAATGTACTAATTAAATTATAGGCTTATGCCCATAAAAATATCCAATTTATATCTACATAATACTTTGTGACTTATTACTGGTGATTATTAGTTATTATGTGGAGATTTGGCTCATAAAGAGTAACATAAACCTATATTTAAATTGGTATCTCAGAAATATTAGTCAAGCAAAACAAACAACAGATGATATAAACAGAAACTGGAAACATTCTATTTACCCAATGGATTCAGACCCCATTTTTTAAATGGAGATTTTGCTAATCAATACATCGGTCCAAAAAGCAATAACACTATATTCAGAAGTGCAGGCTACTTTAGATGTTGTTAGATCAACTAGGTTTTTAAAAGAGCCAATTTATTTTTATAAGTTAAAGCAGCATGGCATACATTGGTCATATTAAAACAAGATCTTTAACTTTTATCTGCCCAAAATGCACATAATAAATGTAGAAATTGCCCATCTTTGGAGTCAATCAAATGCAATCATAGAAATAAAGGAGTCTATGGTGTAACTACTGTTCCCATAGACTTGGTGTCCTGGCGCAGTGCAAATGTCAACACCCATGCATGGCAGCTTGGTCCCAACCCCATGGAGAAATCTGTCAGCACCTGAGCTTTCCTAGCATGCCTTGCAGGTGAGCTACATTTGCCCTCTTTGTCAAGCCTTTCTTCATCCTAGAATGCTATTGTGTTATTATATTGAGGACCTCCTCTTTTGTGAACAGATTAACTAGAGGATGTTAGGGAAGGTTTGATCCTCGATAGAGTACTGCATGTTGTAGACACCAGGGTTCAGACACTGACCCAGTTGCACCTGATCATCAGATAGACTTCAGTAATCTGTGTGAGATGTCCAGGGTGGGAGCAGACAGAATGATATGCAGCGGGGTTGGAGTTGAGTGAGGCCCCTGCTTAGGAGAAAAAGAATCGACTGTGAAAGGAGTTGGCCAAACTTTCTAACAATGTAACAATCTGTTCAGTATATATTTGCTGAATACAATTTGTTGAATATATATTGCTCAAATGAGATATGATTTATATATATACACACACTTTGAGAAATATAAAGCAAGAAGGTGTTATTTATTGCATAAATTTATAGCACACTAGTCTAAGGGGGAATAAAAGATTAGGTATCAGACCAATAGCTCCAATTCCTGGCTCCACAGGAAATCCCCTGGGATGTATGTTAAAGGTGGAGGTTTCTCTGCCTTGTTCCAGAACTGTTGACTCACAGGTCTGACATTATGCCAAGGAATCTGTCTATTTTTAAAACTACAGAGGTGATACTGACTCACTCAGGCTTCTAGACTTTTATTTTCTTTTTCCAGTATGATTCTCCCTACCCTCTTTTGTTCTGAGGCACAGAAGAGGCCTACCTCTAAAAACAGTCATTTTAAAAAATTAACAAATATCTGCTATGCGTGTAGCATTGTCAGGAGCATTACAGACAATACAAGCACAAATAAGATTCAGTTTATAACAAGCTTAGCATCTATAGGGGAGAAAAAAGATAACCTGAAAAGAGTAGCCTAGGGCCACAACCATCGCACTACCTGTCTCCATTCACAAGAAATCTGACATGTTTCTCCATGCTTTGGTTCTTTACTCTATGTGCAGTGTCCTTGTCGGGGCTTTCTAGCTGACAGTCAGAGATAAAGGAGCGGGTGAATTATTATTTGCTAGTTAAGGAAATTCATCACAATGATTCTTCTTCTTATGGAAAAGGTAGGAATACTTCTTGTCTTACAGTAATATAAATAGAGTTGTATTTTAGGATTTAAGATTCCATTGAGGCTTAACATGCACTCTTTTCATTACTGTTGTGGATATATTGTCTACGTTTATTTAAAAATATAAAAGTGCTGCTTTCTGAATTGATCTATAATTTATAAGGACATCATTATAATTACAAATACAGTGTTATTCTGGATTCATCACGTTAGAATGGTAGCTTAATGCTTAGGATCATTTCTTTCCTATTTTTCTACAACAGATTTATCACCTGTCTGACCCAACTTCCCTGCACTCCATTGTTCCACTCTCTCTGACTTTCCACTTCACAGAGGATGTTAATAATGGAATATGTTACTTGAGTTTTCATTTACATGCTTCTAATATGCCATTCTCTATAATTAATCACCATCATAAATATTCTCATGTACATGCCATACACACACACACACATGTGTACACACACACACTCTTTCTGGGTCACTGAACTAATAAAACAGCTTATTCTAACCACTGTTGCAAATCACAGCCTATAGTGACAAGGTAGTAAAAAATGCATGTGGTAAGCATAGCATTGTAAGATATTTTTGGTCAGGTGAAAATGTTGAAAACCTTTTGTTTTTAAATAATGCATGCGCTAATAGGATCAAAAGTGACCACTCTATGGAATCGTTAATAAGTAGTATTGTTTTCAATGCTTTCAGATTTCTTTATAAAATAATTTTAAAATATAATTGGAGAAAAGATTGGACTCACCTTGTGCCCTTTTTCTCCACATGAGGAGGGTGTAGTATATTTTCTCTAAATAGAAAATTTCACCTGGTCTGTGTCTTTTACTAACGTTAAATAACTTACCAGGTATTAACTCATAAGAGAGTCATACTAAAAGATTTTATGTGAAATATCTTTCCTCCAACAGCATTTCTCTTGATTTGTGAAGCAGATGAGTATCTCAAATGATGTTGGGTTGCACATTAAATTTATTTTCTTATAATGTCTTTGCATCTAGTTAGCAAACCTGGAGAGGAGCACCCTCTAATTCATTTCTCCCCACTAATTTAAAGGCACCAACCATGATATGAGAAAGAGTTTACTTTCTTCCAGTTAAGGTAATAAAGCAATCTGTATGATACTCAGAATACAATCCAGCTCCAAAAATTCCAACACTAGAACAAGGATGTATAAGGCATAATTTTTAACATATGGTGAATATTTAAAAATTATTATGGTAAAAGACACACTGCCATTAATCACCCTCAAAATAGTCTCCCTTGCTTCAAACACACTTATCCCATACACTTGCCACTTTCTGAAGCAGCTCTGGAAGTCCTCTCTCATGAGTGTCTTTGGTTGCTCTGTTGTAGCTGTCTCCACATCCTGAATGATTTAAAACGTGTACCTTTCCTGGTCATTTTGATTTTAGGGAAGAGCTAGATGTTGCACTGTGCCAGACCCAGTGAATAAGTGGATGAGGTAATGTTGTAATGGTAATTGTTTTTGTTTTTTTCTTTTTTTTTTGTACTGGGGATCGAACTCGGGAACCACTGAGCTAAATCCCCAGCCCCATTATAATGTTTTTGACAGAAATTACTGTAAACACTTTGAATCCATCCAAGAAATCCAGGCAGCCATGATAGCCAGAATAGGGAAGCATAAAGAGTTAAACTGACACAGTGCAGTGTAGACCTCAGAGTCTTGGAAACACACAGATTTCAAATCCCAAGTTTGCCTTTTACTACTAGCCACATTATTTTGAATGTTACTTCTCTGAGTAGCTATTATAAACATAAAATGCATAGTAAAATACATAAATACTTAGCAGTGGTGTTGAATTAATTTTAGAATTATGCAGTCATGGAATTCATGACTTCATACACATACAAAACAACTAATAATTCAGTGCTCCTTTAGTTGGCGTCTATTTTTGGAGTCTATTATGACTTGTGCCCTAGAGCTGAGATTGTGTTATTAACTTGTTATCTAATCAGAATTCTCATTAATAATATCTATATGAATTCAGAGCATTTTGACTAAGGAATTTGGTGTAGGTTTCACATTCTGAAAATTATTTACCTCCTGCATTTTAGGAAGTAATCAAATACAAAAATAAAAAGTACTGTATCTCAGAACCAACAAATTGAGTTTGACACTAGAGGGAGACCTAGACAGGTTTTGAAACTTGCCCCAATTACCATAGTGAAGAGAATTTTTTCTTTCCTTGGCAACCTCAGAAGATAAGAGAAATGATAACTTGGAAAGAGTCTGAGTAAACTCAGCATTCCTAGCAGGACAGTTGGAAAGTTTTCTTTTCTATTCCTTTTCTTTTTCTCTTTTAATGGCTCTTGGTTGAGTTTTACACAATAGAGAATAACCTTTTGGTCATACAGTTAAAAGCACATCCAGATCCTGAGCCAACAGGATGATCAGTCAACCAAATGATCTGAACTTGGTCCCCTCAGTTGAGCTGCTGGGGAGTGGAAGCATTGTGCTTGGTTAGAGAGGGAACAAGCAAAGGGGACAGATTGTCCCCTCTTGGCAACCATCTGAGCGCATATGTACGTACGACAAACACCACTTTGATCACTTGAGTTTTCAGTGACTACAAATAGTCTGTGTGCATGCATATGTATCCTTTTTTTCTATTGCATATTTTCTGTAAAATACATTTCTCTGTAATCTTGTACTACTTCTGAGAGAGTGAGAGAGTGGCTCCCCCTACCCACGCTGTAGAAGTACAAGTCAATGAGAGTGAAGAGGGGCAATATCTCTCTAAGGGAATATTCCATACATTAATTACTCAGAAAACAAATTCATGGAAATGGGTGTACACCCTTAGAATTATACTCAATTAATTATACTTCTTTACCAAAAAAGAGATTCCAAGTATACAACTTAGTTAATGGCAAGCCTATTTATTTCTCCTTCTTAATCTATCAGTATATATATTTTGTTTTACAGAGGAATGGTAAACTTCTATTTAAGAAAACTAAGAATTAATATAAGCATGAAATATAATTGGTCATGAAGCTCTTCTTAAAAATAATTTTAGGCATGAGGCCCTGAGTTTGATCTCCGGTATTACTATTACTACTACTATTACTACTACTACTAATAATTTTAGGTACACAGTGGGAATTAAATGCTTGAGAATATATAATTTATAAATATCAAGTGTTAAACCTCTTACCAAGTACTGATTTGTATCTAACAGCTTGCAAGTCGAGGTGAGTCCTATAATAGAAAGTTTGGGAGACTCAAATTATATCATGTATGATTGAAATAGATATCTCTAGAAAGCTAATCTAAATAATTAAAAATAAATTTTTAGTACAAAATGGAATACATAGCAAAGGTATGTGAAATTCTCTGTAATTTTTTCAGTCAATGATAATTATTATCCAGATGTTGGGTTATTTTTTCCTAATCTTTATTTCTTGAAAGTTTTTTTACAAGGTTGAAATCATGCTTATTTTCAATTTCATATTTTGATCATTTCTTTTCCCCAGTAAACAATGATTTGTTACTGCTATACTCATTCCCTTCTACAGATGAAGAATATTTAAATGCTCACCTTTTAAGCAAAAAGCATTGTATGTTATATATTGCTTTTAAAATATGTATTTCTTCAATTTTATCTATTATAATTTAAAATCTTTGTAAGTATAGTTTGATGGTTAAAAGATATTTCACCACATGGACAAATCATAATTTATTCTGTAATTTTTTACTGTTAAATATTAAGTTGTTTCCAATAAGCTCTATAATTAATATCTCTTTATAATAGCTTAGTGACAGTTGACACTACTTAATAAGGATGTTTTGCAGCCAAAACATACTGTATCTTCAATTATAGCAATATCAGATTTTTTTTAAAAAAGTATACATGACTAGTAGAACTAGTAAGTAGAAGAATTTCTGTGATTTATGATAATATCTGAATTTTTAAAATATCTGTTAATCTCTGAAATCACTGCCTCAGTGATTGAGAGTCTTCATAATGTAGAACATGTAATATGGATTAATTATTGCTGTTGCCTCTAAGAAGTACTTAAATTATGCCACATTGCTAAGTGTTCTCATTTAAATGAGCTATTTTCACTATCAAAATAACCCTAAGAGATACGTAATACTTTATATAAATAATGCCTATTACACATGGTGGTTGTCAGGATTAAATCAGTTGCTGCTCCTAAGAGATGAACTAATACACCTAATCTAACTAAATAGCAAATGGCATATGGAACATGGTTTGGGTGAATCTATGCTAAATTGTCAGTGACAACTATTGCTGAGGTGAGAAGAGAAGTAAGAGGGAGGGGACCAGGCTTGGTGGTAAAAGTCAAGGTAGACTTCTGATTTACCATTAATGTGTTTTTTTTAAAGGATGTAATCAAATATGTTTGTTTAAAATTAATTTAAATCACTATATCTATGGGCAGTGCAAGAGGATCATTTTTATTATTGAGTTTTATGGATTATATTTGTATAATTTAGGGAACATTAGCCTTTTGATAGAGAAAAAGAATGGCAGTAGAAGAAAATTGAAGCCAAACTTTTAGGAGCTCCTGAAAATTAGTCAGAAGAAAACACTTCTAAATGAATACCAGAGTCAAGATCAAAATAAGATTAACTGCAATCTCATTTTACTTGCAACTTTTATTGGACTTTGTTTGAGATTTTTTTCCATTAAGTTTATTGGTACATTTTAGGTATAAAATAGAGTTACATTCATCATTGGGATCTTGTACCATTACATGAGTCTCTTTTTTCTCATTTTTTCCCCTTCCCCTGCCCTCCCTTCACCCCCTCCACCCTTCC